GGTTGAGGTCCGGTAGTGCCCACTGCGATCTGGCGCTTGCGGTTGAGGAGGCCAGGAGGAGGAGGAGGCACAAGGAGGAGAAGAGCTCTGATAAACTCTAACAACTGGCAGGTGGGGAAAACATACATCACTATATATACATCTTGTCAGATCTTGCAACTCACCACAGCTCACTTCGAATACATGCATCACTGCATCACCAGTTATAGTTGTGAAATGATAGGCAAAAGAATGAGCAGCATGTGATGACTGGCCACGCAGCAGTATAGTCTGGCTGTTTGTATGGAATAACAATATTCTGATGTTTCTGATCGCAGGTCCTGCAACACATTGAAAGCGAAATCTTGCCAGAGGTTGAGTGGGCATGCGTGGGTAGTTTGCGGTAGTTTCCAATCATCTATGGTGATGCACGGTTAGTTTCCAATCATCTATGGTGATGCACGGTCATGCATGGTGATCTATAAAGATTTCCAACGAATTGGGTGCCGTGTGGCAGCATCTATTGTGATTTGCTATAGCACCGCTGTATCACCAGGTGGTCTTTGCTGATGGTGCTTTGAAAAGTCTGCGATGATGTGGGTGTCACTAACATACGGAGACCAAACCCATTAGGCCCGGGTCTCCTTATTTCAATACACACCCATCAGTGGTGATCCGTGATACCGCATCGAACAACGGGGCTCCTTTCAATTCACTTGAATTCAAAACAATATTTTTTGGGGTCAGTGATAGTTCAATAAATCACAAACAAATCAAGGGGGCCCTGCAGACCCTTCACCTTATTTCATATTTCTCTTGACTACAATTTCTGAGCCAACAACAACGTCAAACGAGATTTTTCTGAGCTCGCCTTCGTAGTGATGAGTTGATGAGACTTAGGTTTACAGCATCTGACAAGAAGGACACCCTGAAAAGGATCCTCTTTATCTGTCAGTGGACCAAGATTTATGTGATTTGGACAAAGGCAACCCGGTGGGAGATTTGGAGTCTGGGCATTCTGAGCTCGTCTGCAGGCCCTGTCACAAGTGGTGCCTAGCCTCCAAATCCCTCATCTGGTTCTTGAAGGCGCCAAAGTGATCAGGCCTTCCCCAAAACCAAAAAAGAGTGTGAGGATGAGGGCTTAGACTTTTCCAAGACCAATGCATACATACAAATGCTACTAGTATATCCCAGCAGTTGTTGGTGATCACACTTGATACGTTCATAGGAAAACACACATCTTTTCAGGCTTGTGAGAGACTGAGGCGTGGGCCACTTGGGTGCTCGTACGTCCAGGATGTCATAGTCTACAAAAGGAGGTTGCAATCGTTGCAGGTTCTTCAAGAAATTGTCCTACCAAGCCAAAGCAGCTTGTTTCCGCACCCAAACTCCTTTTGAATCCTAACCTTGTGAATCGACAAACATACTCTTGCAGGAAGGTCCCAGGCTCTGTTTCTCTCCTCAATCTCATTCAGGGAGTTGCTGATCTCACCTTGCAAAATGCGAAAAGCCTACGCCTACACGTGCAGCTTTCAAGCTGTGTCCGTCGGCGTCCCTACTGCTTGCCTTGTAGGCAGAAACAACTGTATGAGTACTGAAGGATCAACTATGGGTCTGATCTTGGTAAGAACGGCTCTTGATCCCCGCTTCTGCGCCTGCTTTGGTGCCCCCAAAAGCTGGCATGGCTTGGCCGCGGAAGCCTCCGCGAAGTTACATATGTTTCACCGAGAGACAAGCACTGCTTGATGCAATAAAATACAGTCTGATAGCTTGCACTGGACCTTACATAGACTTGTCTGTTGAACAATGGAACACATCAGTGCGACCCAAGATGCGGCATGCAAACTGCTGAAGGCCCTGGCAAACCTCGAGGAGGTCACAGCAGCGCTGGACGAAAGCATCGATCTGCAGAAAGATGCTGCCTTCCTGAGCGTTGACCGAATTCTTTCCCACATTGAAAGCAATTGAAAGCCCTGAGTGCCGTTAAGTGTCAGGAAATGTCCACGGTCGATCAGTGTTCTTGGACAAAAGCCTCCCGACTCTTAGGCACTTGGAACATCCTGAAAGACTTGAAACACAATGGAACACAAGAAAGGGTTTCCAATGGGATGTTCAACTCTACCAACAGGTATCTGTATCTCGAATGAAGAGACCCGTAGGGCTTGGGTGTCTTTAGGGCCTGAAACACACTGGGCTAGATCTCTCGCACATCTTTTCAGCATTGCCACGCCTCACAGTCTTCTGATAAGCCCTCTTCCATTCACGGCCGCAGTCGATACACTGCTGCAACTTCACCATTGAGGTCTCGACTTTGCCAGCAAAAATGTCGGACAGGTCGATAGTGGCTTGACCTCACAGTTTCCTACACCTCCCATTGTGCAGCAAATCCTTGCCGATCATAAGAACTCAAGCGCTCAAAAGCTGGTACAATTACATTTCAAGTCCCAAACATTCTAGAGAAGATATTTCTGCCGAAGCACAGCGCTTGATGATTTCATTGCTCATCTTTCTGAGGAGGCCTGAAATCCTGTCCTCCTTCTGATAATGGGTGGAGATGGACCAAATCATACCTGGTCTGGCACTATGACAGCCTGTGAAAATGTGTATCGTATTTTCCTTTTAAAGATCAATTTGCAAATGCTGCGCTGGAATACCCACAAGGGGCAAAAAGGCCACAGGAGAGAGTCGATGCTAGTGCTAGTGGGCTTGGAGAGTTCATTGGAGCCACCCTGCTTGCTGCCATGCTTCGCACATAGTTCAATAGCTCTGGAAGAATTGCAGGGATCTCTGGTGGCGTTGCTTCTGCGAGCTTCTCGCATGGTTCTTTGAGAAAGTTGAGGAATCGCAAATTTTCCTGCACTCCAGGTTCATGATCCAAAAGACCCGGTAGCCAGTTGCATCAAACATGTTGATAAAATGAACACAATTGAAATGAAGCTTATGTTTGGGTTTCTTTGCACTAGCCTTTGAGCTAGAACATTCAAGCAACCGATTCGATTCGTATAACAGTATAACAATGTTGGCCATGTGGTGGGCTGCAGTGGTCGAAACAACACAAATCTTGATCAGGGGATGGAGTAGCTCTTCAAGCTTTGGAGATGATTTGCTAGCCTATTCTCAGATTCTCCCAGTGTACAAGTCTTCAACAAAAACACGCAGGAGCTTGCAATAGGTTGGAACTCAGTTCCTTCTGGCTGCGCACGGATCGATCGTGGTGGATTCCTTGAATCAGATTCCTACGAATGTTAAACGTATATAATTATTTATTAACTAAGATTAATTGTAACATTATTAGTCTTTGGTGCCTGTCCTTGGCTTCGATAGATCCGTTCTTGATGTCTTCCTCCAATGCTCGAAATTTCTTCAGCCAGCCAGACTTTGCGTGCCTTTGCTGAACGATCAGTGTTTGATTCGATGATTCGATGGCCCTTGGTTCAGCAAAAAATATAACATACCGCTTGCCAACAAGAACAGCTCTGCACAGAATCTTAAAAAGTGAGATGCTCCAGAACTGTCAGAATCTCTTGCAGCTTTGTGCTTTGCAACTGCTCGTGGAGGCGAGACAAGTTCCTCGGCCACTCTTCGTTTATACAAATTATACATGCTCAAAAAAGGGGACATGCGACCGTCACAAAAACTCATTGTCCAGAACCATTCGCATGACTGGATCTCCGTACCCAGAATCATGGGGCGTTTGACATGCATTCACCACCGACTACCATTAACTCGCCGAGACAGAGTTGTGCTTCATCCAGCCAAAGCTTCCACCTTGCTTTGAAGAGGGTCTTCGTTTTTGCTCAACTATACATCGTATACAAATTATACTTGTTTCTACTAGCAATACTTAGAATCATCCTACTACCCGGCCGTTTGGAGGTACTTTATCTTCGCCATCATTCAGCTTGCATCACTCTTTGGCCGAGCGAATCGCTTGAAGTTGAGGATCTTGTCACGGGCGTTCCAGAACTCAATTTCATCCAGCGGGCCGTTGTTCTCACCTTCATTGGCCGAGTCCTGGTATCGTGAACTTCTTCAGCTTCCTGCTTTTCTACGTTTTCTGAAGTTGCGCAAGCACTTTCGACTGACGCCACCGCCCCTAAACACATTCCCAGAGTTGCCAAAGTGCGTTTGAGCGCATCTTTGTGCGGTCCTGCTGAGTGGTCACCTCCTTGATCTGCCTGTGCCAATGGATCAATGCAACTTTCAAACCTTAGAGGTTCATAGAGGCTCAAGGCTCTGAGCCAAGCACCCGAGCAGCAACTGTCTCCCGTTTGAAAAGAATGGGCAGAGTCTGACTGGATGCCAAAACTGTGCGAGCAAAGCCTGTCTTTATGGGAGCACCCGAGCTGCCCTCAGAGTAGTCTCAATGACGATGCAAGTGTTCGACCTTTTGCAGCCCACACATTGCATGGCACGCCGATGAACAGAAATCAGCCTACAAAACAGTGAACTCACCCCACTATGTTGAACCCCCACGGCCATCATCCACATAACTGGCAACATAAACTTCTCGATGTTTGTGTGGGGTGCCACAGCCACAACAATACGGTACCAGTGTGACCAGTGCAATAAAATTGCAACATCATGCGCTCATGATGTCACTGTGCTCGCCTTGGGTGTGGGCTATCTTGTTCTTGGCCTAACTATCCCTTACTACAAAGCTTTTCTTTTGCAACATTTTGTTTGGACAAATTCGTTTTAAAGGCGCCATCCCAGCAAAGAATCATGCTTTTGAAGTTTGACTGGCCACTGAAGTGACCGCTGCACGCTGCAACGCCGTGCAAGGGTCACCGGATGCGCTCGAGCCCCCGGAATCCCCATCAGTGTGTTCAGTCTTGGACACGGTGTACAATTGCCCGGACGTTTCACAGTCAAAGTAAGGTGCACAATGTCTTGCACAGCTTTGCTGCTGCGCAAAGTCAAGCAACGCTGTACAATGTCCTTATCCTTTGAGGCAGCTTCAAGGTTGGCAAAGTTGTCCTGCGAACAAATACACAAGCTGCTTCGAGCCATTGTGGTGTACTTCATCAACGACTGAAGTCTTCAGGAACTGCTTCCAAAGTTATATGAGCCCCTCTCGCCTGAGGAATATAAAGAACCGTGCTACCTTTCCCTTGATGAGTCATGGCGGTCACGGTGAGCATAAAGTTCTGGACTTGTGATGTGAACTCCTGCGAGCAAGGACGCTACTAGGTTGGAGGCCATCGCTATTAGGCTGCGGCTATTTGGTTGGAGGCCATTTCTACTACTAGCAAGGGCGCTACTAGTAACTAGTGTGACTCAAATAGATAGAACATGGTGACTTTGCACCTGAGTCAAGTGACTCAAATCGAATCAATCCAGCCAAAGGCCCAAAGGTGGACTGGTGGACCAAAGGGGCAGGCGTCCTTTCGTACATTATCAGGCCAGCCGTGGTCAGCTAGCGCTACCTTAGGTGAGAAAGGAGACCCTGAAATTCGTAGTGCTTTGTTCCCTTTTGTACTAAGTGCTGCAAAATTGCAGGAACATAGATGTTATTCATCTGGCTCAGAAGTGAATCCAACAATGGACCTGCGACCAACAAATTCAAGGTGGATGTCTCAACTTTGATAAACAAACAAAACAGTCGAGGTAACCACTGCATTCGATTCATTAAGATCTCTATATACATTATATACGTCCCTTTCTGATTGCCCAGCAACTTGAACACTCCGTCAAATTGGGCCGCCTCGAGAGCATCCAAACAGGATTTGTTCATTGAGGTTGGATGAAGTGATCGGCTGATCATCTTCCCTCTTGAAGAAGTAACAAAACTCCTTCACAGCTCCTGCAGTGATTCACTTCCATACACATTCAACATCTTGCCCACTCAACTGCAAACGAGTTGATGCGGTTCTCTGATGAGCCTCCACAATATCTCCAAAGCAAAAAAGTACTAAAACAGAGTACACAGTAAGGGTCCTTATTAAGGGGCCCTTGTCTTCTTTTTTCATCTCCGCATCATCCCAATATGATCCAATATGGACCCCTGGACACCTTTTTCCCTTTCGTCCTGTTCTGATTGGCGCCGGTAAGCGATCTTCAATGCGGCTCTCTGATGCAGCAGTCCTAGCAGCAAACATGCTTGGCACATCAAAAACCAAGATGAGGGAACACAAAACGAGAAAATCTTGTGGGCTCCAAGATTGCTTCCCAGGTACTGCAAGTATCTACAATATATTTCTTCAACTCGTTCTTGTTCGACCTCACAAACAGTTATGCCAGTCCTAGAGAGCGTGGCCTGTACGAGGCGCTTCGTCTCGCCCTGCTCGATCCAGGCAAACATGGACCGCGCTTCAGGCTCCTCCAACCACGCTGAAGCCTTCCACAGTTGCGGGGGGGGGAAAACCCAACACTCGAGACTTTTTCGATTAAACAGACACAGATCAAACAGAACCAAAGTATCGAAGCATGTTCGATGGATTTCTAAGCCTTTGGCACTGACGTCTGGGGTAACGCGACCAGCAGGTAAGCCAATGTGTTTCGTGATTGTCAAGCCCTGTCAAGACATGTCTTTCTTACAGGTCATTCACAAAAGGGCAACACCAGAAACCCATTCCTTCAAGGTTGATCTCAACGCACCTTCTCTTTACATGGTGACAGCCGAAGCTGATCAACCGGATGGTAAAAAAAATTGTGGGGCAGACCTGCCTTTGCATACATGATGCCCCATTGGGCTCTAGGAAGGCCCGACCCCCGATCACAACTCCACCTTTCAGACATGACCCATGGGTCACTCACTGACAAAGTCAAAACAAAGCATCAAGAAGTGGACATGTTCGTGACCGGTCGCCATCTCCCTACTGTAAGAAACTATAAACTGCTATGGAGTGAGTTTCTCAACGGCCCCGTTCAAACTCAAAATAGCCACAAGCTTTGACAATGCCACAATATTTGACGGCTTTGGCCTGTACGGATCCACAAGCAACAGCCCACTTAGAATAATAGAACCTCGAACGTCAGTTTTGCTTCTATGCCAATCCTAAGCTTGCTAACCAACCCACTTGCCAGTTGTCCGCTCTTCGAACCTCCAAGAGCTCTGGTTCCGTGAGGTCCGAACTCTCGAAGCCTTCCAGCTGCGCCAGCCGCAAGCTGAAGAAGGTGCGGACTGCATCCTTCCCACATGCACAGGCAAAATTGGACTTACAATAGTTGGGACAGGCCAAAGCACTTACATGCTTTACATTCGCTGGAAACAACCAGTTGGAAGCTTACTCCTATAGAACCTGACCTGAAAGATTCTAGAACCAGCTTATTGCAGGGTTGCCGCCAAAGCCAGCGTGAGCCCAGCTCCTGGGAAAGATGCTCCATCGCTCCTGTACCAACAATTTCGCTTTCCGCTAAACAAGGGGAACGTCGGCGACAAACGACATGGGGACAAAGGGGAACATTGAATTCCACAATTCTTGCCCATCAAGAACAGTCTAACGCTTAGCACATCAGCTAGTGAGAAGCGCCCATCTCATCAATCAGCAAAGCTGGAATTCCCACATGTATAGAGTATAGAGCAACCATTTCGGGAAATAGCCTGTCTGCTCCACAAACACAAATACACACACACACATCTCAATGTGCATACTTCGGCCTTCTTCTCTCGAGGTTTCTATTCACACAGTTGTTGTGGATAGATTGAAATAAAAGGTAAATGTCTTCAGTCCAAGTGAACATGTGAGCATGTGAATCTAACACAGCAATGACTTTCCAGGGATAGTTGCAGCTGGGCTCACTAGTGTATTGTCGATGTCTTGTGTCAGCAAACTTACTTGATCTTCTTTGATCGCGATGACCTTCTTGTGAAAATATATTGGAGTCAGCTGAAGATCATAAATGGCGGCGGAGCTGGCATGTCCCAAGCCTGTTCCAAGCTTGTTTAGATTTAGATGTCATGAAATTATGAGATGAAATGTCACAGATGAGCTGCTTATGTTGCGATGCATGGACAGTCTTCAAACGGCCCCAAGGCATCTCTCTCAGATTTCAATCCCTATATGCAAGGACAAACATCAGAGGCATCACTGCTGAGATGGAGCTTTTGTGACTCTCCACCAATGAGATTTCAGCTAGTTTCTGCCACCCGCCAAGTCGAACCTCTTCCAGCTTCAATGTCGGGGGTACAGCTGTCTGCACCAGGAATGAATGAACGCCACGACGAAGCCAAGACATGGACCTGGCCACTCCAAACAATAACATCCCACTCTTAATAAACATATCAAGCCCAACCAATTTTATTTCATTGATTTTTCTATAAGAGAACCGACAGCAAATGCATTCACATTAAAGCAGTCTCAGTCAGAATCGGGTGCTAGCGGCTGTGGGAGACCATCTCGTAAACTACCTAAGCCAAAGAACTACAAAGAAAAAGGCCAAAGGCTTCAAGGCCTCTTCATTCCTCATATACAGTATCTCTATATACTGTATCTCTATCCATGTCTTTGCTCTAAGGTCGAGGATTTGGAGGTTGCACAAACACATGCAACTCTCCAACCTGTGAGCGGAGCGAGACACATCAGCTGCTTGACAAAGGAATGTCGTTGAACGTCTTCCACGTTCCTCCTCCACCCCTTGTGGTCTGAAATCAGCTGGTTTAGAGTTTAGAGGTCAACATTTCCAGTCGAAGGCTTTGGTCTCAAATATGCTCAACAAATCAAGGTGTTTGACTCTCAATGTGATTCATCACGGGGCCTACAATGAGACGAATTCAGCTTACCTCTTTGACAAGATTGGAGCCGATACAGGGCAGGCAATCTGATTCGTAAAGCACACCATATACATACACATGTCATGTATATATATATATACAAATCATATATCATATCCAAAATATACCTACTTGGTACTTGACATTTATTGTAATGTGTTGCTTTCTTGCTTTCAAACTTAGCGGAAAAAAGGACAACACAAACAATAATTTTGATTGAACTATAGAGCAGAAACATCTTTTCGCTCGCAAGCTTCTGATCCTCGTGAGGCAGGTGCCTCCAGGGGCACACTGGGGTTTGAAAAGAAGCGAATCTCGGACGGTGACCCATCTTACTCATCTCTCTTGGCACAAACGAGTCTCAAACTCGAATCCTTTGAGCAGGATGCTGGTTGGTGTGTGGCAACCATCGGGGTTCTATTGCCTTTGCTACTATGTTGTCAAAGACTGAGCTGGAGCGAAAAAGTTGTATCAGCATATTATGTTTTTGGAGGTTTTTACTGATGCAACCCTGGCTGCAACGTGAGCTTGACTGCCGAGACCCGTGTATCTGAAGCTTAAGTTTAAGTTTGCTTGTTGAGGCCGGATGCTGATGAAATTGATGCATGTTTATCTCACACTATAGTTGTTCCAAACATGGTGTGGAATTAGCCTCTGGTGGGATGGAAAGGCAAAACCAGGCAAAAGTAAACAATGCTTTACACTACAAAGTGCGAAGAGAACAGATGCGACAGTGAGAATGCAAGCCTGGGTGTAGAAGCAAACACATTCTGACCTAGAAACCTGCAGAAGAGAGGCATGGAGCAAGTACGGAGCATTGGGCTGATTTGTTGAAGACTGGCATTTGACGATGTTGCAGGATGCCTTTTTCAAGGACGCATCCTCAACAGCAGGAAGTACAGCAAACACATGTGGAACAGCAAGAGTTGAGAAGACCATAGACATAGACACAACTAGCAACACATTGTCCAAAAACAAGCATGTTGTTCGACAATGTTCCACAAGATTTCATGCATGAGACGACAGCAAGGGAGGCAACAACGCCTGGTCAGGCTGCAAGAAATCTTGAAGCGCAACAATAAACGAAGCTCCGATTGAATGACTAATGGTGTTTATGGTTCGAATGATTGTTTGGGATCTCATCCATTGCCAATGAAGTCTCAAAGGTCTCTATATAAATTTGCACCCTTCAGTCGAGATGATGTACCTTTTGGCAGCACGCTGTTAGCACATCTCACACTCGCAGTGCTGTAGCAACAAGACTTCTTGGCTTGCGCGTGGAGTCATATCAAACTCAAGCACAACATGACCTTGCCCAGCCTTACTACTAGGAGGAAGGACGCTACTAGGGGCTCTTGGCATCGCTACTAGTAACAAGAAGCTACTAGGGGCTCCTGGCCTTACTACTAGGAACAAGGACGCTACTAGGAGCCCCTGGAAAATGATGGAACATGATATAAGTTTTCTGCTGGCAACAGCATAGTGATGCCAACTTGTGTGGCCTCCCACATCCAGCCCTTTGTGGGTTGACTCATGAAAGACAGTTGGACATCTATAAACCAAATGATTGAAGGGTGAGATATCCTGCGTCCAGTAGCTAGTAGCTTACTTAGCCCTCACTCAATTAAGTAGTAGAGGGGCAGAGCGGGTTAAAAGAACAATTGTCATTACGTGTCATTACATTTATGATGCCTGTGCTCCATGGAGCAGAACATCAGCTATCTTTCAGGTCTACCAGGCTGATATGCACCTTGAACCTCGAGCTCCATATTCTCTGCTGACCTGCAGGCAAAACTCACTAAGAAAGCGGTTGCAACAATGACGATCCCAGTCAATGTTTCACATCTTGGTCACCAGCATGCCCCCTCCACAAACTGTACGGCTTCTGTCTGTGTTAAGAAATATTCTTAAACAAGAAAGTAGACTCTATTTTTCGGAAAAATAAGTTATTTCTAGACTCTATTATTTTTGTCAAAAAAACACGTTTTCTTTTAAATACGTATTAAGTTCTAATTTGAAGGGCCCTGCCACAAAGAGAAAGAAAGAGAGAGAGAGAGAGAAAGAAAGAGAAAGAGCGCGCCCCCTTAATGACAAACTTGACATCATCTATGACCCTTTCCATGATACGTACGTAGAGCAAAAGCTTCAGTTTGCTTAAATCTGTTTCAAAAAACTGTCCCCAACCTGTCCTCTCGGGTGGTCTGAAACTGGTC